TCAGATGGATGTAGCGGAATACCAGGGTTGATGTTCACTCCTGGACTCGAACAAAGTGCCGCTTGCTTCAAATGCCACCACGTTATCCACTTAGCTACTGAGTCCTGATAGCCACTTGCTTGTGCAATGGAGTGAAGTTTTGAATTCACCTAATTTTGTTTTACTTATATCTTCTCACTGTTATTTAGGACTGTAATTGATCAGTCCCTTGTTGGCAAATGTGCATCCTGCGCGTAAATAACACCTAGTGAATTTAAAACTTCATCCCATTTCACAAGCAGGTAACCATCAAGTCTTAGTTGCTAAGTGGATAACGCGATGGCATTTGAGGCAAACGGTGCTGAATTCGAATCCCCAGGTGGACATCAACTTTAGTATTCAGCCACATCCAGCTGACAAGTCCAAAATAAAACTAAACGCGCGCCCTGGATCCCACCGCTAGCCATTATCTATTTTTGCTTAAAAAGCTTGTGACATGAGGCTATATCGAGGCAACCCGCACAGTATGCAAATATGCCAACAAGAGACTAATCAATTGCAGTCCTAAATAACAACGGGAAAATACAAGTAAAACAACACCCAGTAAATTATAGTTCAACTGTTTTAAACAAAAAAAAAATGAAAACACTACTATTAAAAAAGGATGCCTTTATAGGACATGATAATATTTAAGACAAACTGTATTTAGTTGAAATGAAGATTGTTGATGCTTGAGTGAATCAAGAATATATTCAATTGTTAATATCTATATAAGATACAATATGCCTAACTTTATATCATTTCAGCGAAAAATTAAATTCAAACTAAAAATACAAACATCACCGAATGATAGAGAAAGGTAGAAATTATCAACAACAAAAATCTTACACTATAATGTAAGTAGAAATACATTTTTCTTTCTTAAACGAGTGTGTAAAATAAACACTATATATCGTAATCCTACATAAATTAATGTAACACAACATTGAAAAAATGAAATCAAATGAAAGATTGAAGTAGAGATACAGTATTTAGTTATTGATTCTTATGATCAGTCAATAAAGTAAAAAATACTTTCTTGGAATAGATGAATTATAACCAGAAATAGGATATGGAATGCACATTTCATCAGATACACACCATAATACACTAAGTATGTTTGCTAATTAAAAAATAGCATAAAGTTGAATGTGTTTAGAATAACTTCAACCCCTTAAAAGAAAATCACATTAAATAAATGAGTATTCATAATTGAGATCTGTATTTTAACTTTACTACACCTTTCTTTCATTTATTATAAATGATCAAATCATATGTCACCTTTTTGTTACATAAATTACTTCATCATATATACTGTCATGTGTTCAAGAAAATTAGAGGTATTTGTAATGATTTAATAAGTTACATAAACAATTTACAAAAACACCGAAAATCTGAAATATTAACATGTACCATAATTAAAGCCATTTTCACCACGATTAATACCAATTTCTTTCTGTTTTTTTGCTTTATAAAATAAAATTTGATGACTTTTGAAACTTAAGATTCTAAAAATAAATAGTGTTGTTGTAACGGGTGGACTGCAGGTTTTGATAAGCAGCGTTTATATCGATCGCTTCTGTGACACGTAAAACACGTAAGGACGACCTAGAGTCCCGATTGGTCCCGCTTCCCAGTCTAGCCCAGCCAGTTGAGTCTAGAACCCAAGTCACAGCCTCCGAGTTATGAATCATCGTATTTCATACATACTCTATTTATATACTAACCAAACAAACTACATCGTACCATAAAATAGAAAACAACATTTACACAATATTTAACAAGTGAAACAAACATCGACCAATGGGAAATGTCCATTTAACGTTCAAGGACACCATTCGACTTAACACGATAATTATTGGCATATTCCTCTGCATACCTAACAAGTGTCACATCGCTTCAGTTTGTAAAACCATGAATAATAGTAATGCCAATAATATCAACAGTTCATATAGGAAATTTGATTAGTAAACTGAAAGTTCGGAGGATGTAGTAGTGGTTTCATGTTTAAAATACTCGGATTTTAACCATAAAATCATAGATTCATAATTCATTCCGTCTACTTCATCAAACCTTTATATAAAAAATTGTGCCTAAAAGCCTTGTCTATAAGCATGGAGATGGTAAGTGAGAAATATTGGTTTGGTCAATAATTTATCTTCATCTTTCAATAAGATAGTATTTAAAATTCTCAGCTAAATTAGTGTCGTCAAAAATAAGGTGGATAAATGTGATTGGTCATGTTAGAATTCCGACCAAGAAAAGTCTAATACTTTCTCTGTGTGATATATCTCTATATTTCAATGCAATACATATATATGTATATATATATATATATATCATCCTGGATCACTGAATTCTTCCGGTTATCCAATCTGGAAATGTACATATATGAATCGTTGACAAATATTGTACTTATCAACTCAGTGGTTTTAATGAAGCGTACTACTCTAGGGAAGATTTTAATCATAAAATAACATCGTTTAAATAGCTATTTTAAACCAAAAAAATAGTTTAACGTTTATCAAGATTCTATTCTAAGGAAATATATTGCCATTAACGCGGTAAAGATCCAACAGTTTTCCACCCACCGTGTTCCCGAAAATGATCTTATATATCAGAAATCTACTATACATATATTTCTATACTAGTGAGATTGTTTAAATAGTCATATTAATGAAGTCGGTGTTTAGATAAATCAACATATCAAGTACAACATGATTGAATCCACGACTGTATGTGCAGAAATTGATTTTCTTTTCATCATAACTCAACAGAACAAACTTAGATTGATCTGTACACTTAGTAAAACATGTTCAAGATTATCTTCAACGCTAATGCTTCATAGTAAGTAGTAATAAAAGTAACTGCACTTCTAGGTTGTTTTTTTTCACTGAAGTTGAATTATTTTTGGACTAATTAGTATTTGTCGGATATCTACAATTTATTTATTCATCTAAACCGAAATATAGAGAATGAATAAGTTTAATTAATTAAAAGTAACTTAGGTTAAGATGGTGAACTAATTACATGTATTTACATGCATACATACACCCAAAATTGTGATTACACTCTTGATGAGATTTAATCGAAATTCAGCTGAATGATTGATTAATTGATTGATCGATTGATTGATTATTTGAATGTCCCTTTATATATATACTACAATTATGAAGATGAAGATCAATGACTAGTAATCAATTAAGTAATATTGATAACACTAAACCACATCTATTTTATTTTGACAAGAATTTAAAATAATATTCAAGACCGATTGAAGTTAGACATGTAAATTATTGAATGCCAACTTAACTATTTAAAGGTTAAGAGTTTACTGCAGGTTTACCAGGTTTTTTCGCCAACTAGATTAGGAATGTACATTACTGAAGTATCATGCTGTGACGAAACAGTTGTCCAGTGGTTTCTAGTTTTTAGTGGTTGTCAAATTAAGATCAATCTGTGATGTAAACTGTGAAAGGAAAAATAATTACAACTGCAATTTTTTTCTAATAAAAACGACTGGATTATATTGTTATTTATGATTTAATATCTATAGACTTACAATTCGGTAATATGAGCTTGACAATTAAGAAAATGACTTTAAAATGCGAATTCTTATATAAATAGTGAAGATAATGATGGTATATTTTTTAAAAATCATTTTAACTGCGATATGGTATATACGGGTTGTAACAATATACATCATATTGTCAATTGTATTTTGAAAATTGTAGACTAGAATTTTACTTAAAGTTTCATCAAACTCAATAATACTATGTGATAAAAAGATTTATACGTATAGATCACTATATTACCAATAAACTAAGGCACATATTTACAAGTGTTTTATTAATAACTCAAGTTGTACTTAACACTCATTGATATATCTCCCACCAAGGAATCTAATCTGATTTCGAATGTGTTGTATATTGGATTAAAAAAGAACTGTAAGGAAAGATAGATAGTGGCTAGCAGTGGAATCTAGAACACGAGCTTCATCTTATTTGAGACCCATCGGTTGGATGCATCTCCAAGAATCGAATCCATTACCTTGTGCTTCAAACGCCAATGCGTTATCCACTGAACAACTGACTCCAGATAGCCACCAGCTGACGCAACAGGAGATGAGACGCGTGTCCTGGATTTCACTGCTAGCCACTATTCATCGACTTAAAATACTTGTGACTTAAAGGCAATATCAAGTCGATTCGCTCAGGGTACACACATGTCAAGAAAGACTGATCAAAATTTAGTCCTTAATATCAAGAAAGGGGAGATTCAAGAAATTACAAACCAAATAAGAAAAGAATTTGCTAAAATATAATAGACTGTTAACAGAGCGATTATTATACGTAATTAACCATTTATCTATCTTGTGATCTCTCCTTATTACCTGTCTTTGAAAGAGCTGTATTCCATTTCTTTACAAAATGTTTAGAAGCAGTCACACAGAAATCAGTGAACCAATATATTAAATATCTTTTTGTACAATTACAGGAAACCAATATTTAAAATGTTAAACTTAAAGTTAACGCCTAAATCATCGCTTTAGCGTAAAAAAAAAGAATGTTTGTACGGAAAAAGAAATTATTTGACAGTAAAGATTATCGTTTATCTCTGAGAAGTAATCACTTTCTCATTCATGCAACTTATCTGATTTTGTAGATAGAGTAAGCAGTTATAGCTGAAAGAGATCTATGTCAATGTTGTAGTGCTTCTTTTGAATAATACACCATGCAGAAGTTTCTTAATCTATCGAACTTAAGGTTCACAAGTATTTACACTTTATGTTGATATACTATTGTAACATCAAGTTCAAACATAAAAAAGCATACTTAAGACAGTAAAATCAAGTGAAATTTAATCTATATGTTAACCGTCAAGCACTAAATATAATGTGTCTATCAGTGAATAATCTAGAAATACTTACATTTTACAAAGTCAATATGTATATTCAGATTAAATTATATTGGATTACATACCTTGGAGTTTTGACTATAGGTGTAGTTGTAAAAACTTCTGATCCATCTGGATTAATTTCCTTTTTAGGCATCCATTGATCGCTTCCTTCATTTGGTATGATTATTTCCGATGGAATTATTGGATATCTTTTTTTACGTCTTTCTAAGATAACTGGATCTTGAAGAGGAAGAAGAAAAATGGAAAAGAAGTTAAAAAACCATTAAAATTTAATTCACTAAAAAAAATGTTCCTACTTGTTTTTATATTCGATTTGGATATTATTCTTGATAATTGATCTGTTTGATGTTTACCAAAAACACCATTACCTTGTTCTAATATTAATTCCTCATTTTTACATTCATTCCCATATTGATTATTATCAATTTTATCAAAATGATTCAAATTACAATTTGATTGATTCGATGCATTCCATATTTCTAATTCTTGTAATATATCTGATATTTTAATTAATCCATCATTATCTGTATCAAGTTCATTGAATAATGTTAATGATAATTCACTAGATATATTAATTGTTGAATTAGAGCATAATTTTATCCATTCTATTTTGTTTAAATCACCGGAATTTTCAAAATCATAACTTTGTAAAAATTTCTTTAAATTATCAATTGACATATTATTGATTGATTTATTCTTTTTGATAGGTAAGTAATATTATATTCTTTCTTTAATCATAATATTATTATATATCAAAGGCATAGTTTACTTTATAGAAATAATAATAATAATCCAAATATCTCATTTAGAAATTATAAGAAATTCTTCAATTGAACTGGATTAATAAAATTGTATAACAACTCAATTCTTTAAGAAAAATAAATTCACTTATCTATTTTATTTTTTACCAGTCTCATTGTCTTTTTTACATACTTTTATTAGTCACATTATTATGTGTGCATTTTGTGTAATAAAAACAATCATAATTCTGCACAAAGTGAAGGTCATCTATACTCAATTCACCATACAAACAACTTCTAACTCTAATTTGATTGGTTAATTACTTATATAAGTATTATATTATATTAATAGACTAAATTTGATAGTATATTAACTTTGACAAACAACAAAATAGCAAAAGCCAGAAATCACTTCTGTTAGATTCAAACTGAAGTTAAGTGATTAATGACATTTATGCAATTAATGAAACAACTTATTTTAAGAAATATTAATCTCAATGGTTAAGATCATGAATCATTTGAAGCTAGACCACCATGGAAAACCTGGAAGCACTGGACGGCTGTTTCGTCCTATTGTGGGACTCCTCAACAGTGCGCATCCACGACATCAATCCCTGCGGGATTCAAACCCAGAACCTACTGGTTTCGCGGGTGAGCACCTAATATTGATCCGTTATAAATTGTGAATTTTATATAACAAACACCAGTGATAATGATTACTAAAGTACTGAAAAAAAAAGAAAATTTCAATCATAATACAAATCAGTAATAAACATTTTGAAACTAGAAATAAGAGTAAAAGATAATACACGTTATATAATATCAAAAGAAAAGACATTTCACCAATAAAATCAACCGAAGATATTAAAATGTTATAACAAACATGTCGTTAAATTTAAGTTTCCATTTTTAACTAAAATTCAAACTAGTATGTTTTCTTAAAAAGATTCAAATGAAGCAGTGATATTATTATCGTCATCATCATCCCCAAAAATTAAATATTTCTGTTCCTAAAGAAGATCATTTGTTTATGAATGAATAATAGAAACTCCTAAGAAATTACTTAACACAATAAGTAGGTTATATGTTGAAGAGAAGATATATTGGAAAAAAATGTTCGCCTACTGTAATCATCCACTGACAAGACTAGGAACTAAAAAATAAAATTAGTAATCACCTTAAGAATCGTTTTCATATACCTGATAGTTAGTACTTTCTCCTTATCTTCATTGTCCATTTGATTGACATAGAGAACAGTTTAACTACGGTAATTGACAGCTGTTCAACCTTACAACCAGAGAGATCAACAATTCTCCATCGATATTTTAGGAGATTACAGTATCCGGTCATTGACCATAATTAAAAGAGTATCTAATCTCATTATAATGAATTCTTTGGTACTACGAAGAATAGATAACATGTCTCATTGTGCTACTAATTTACTTATCATCTGTTAGAAAGCGTCTTCTTTATGCGTATACTACTATATTACAAACAAAAAACATCCTAGTTATAGATAACAATAACTGTTATGAGAAGGCGAGATTTATATCTTATCTTCATCAAAGTTAGCCAGATGAAAAGTGTATCTCAAAATTAATTGATCGCTCCATAGGAAAGTAAACTTTGAATCCAAAAAGGTTAGCTCTAAATTTCCATGATGATCACTGTGGAGTGTAACTGCAGTGGTGATGTCTAATCATTCGTACATGAAGTCTATTTACTCGTAGATATTCATCAATTCAGCCGGTTAGAATAAGTTTAGGCATCAAAAGGCATGTCCCAACTTGGAATCCTCAAAGCAAAAAGAAGAAAGATAAACCGAAGAACATATGGCGCCGGGAACTGGAGGTAATCATCTAGAGAATGGATAGTACCTGACAACAACTCGAAGGGAAAACCCAGTATAGAGTCAGTTGAGGATTCCTGGTCGATGTCCTATGCCCCATGACGGGTAACAGGCTAACTTAAGTAAGGTTCAGTTCTAATGGTAACTAAGATAGCCACTTCGCAAAAAGTGGCCTATTCATTTTTAAGTCAAGCTGATCCAAACTATCGTCAGTAGAGAAGTTAAACATTGGAGAGTATGATATTTAGTGAAATTATTGGTCATTCGGTGTACTCCTCACCCATCTCTCTTAATAATTTTTCTTAATGGTTGAATATAACACTGGGTTTATATTTGAAAATAAATAGGTCTGTATTTGCACATCGATCTTAAATACCACATTTTCATATATTTGGTTTATTGAATTATACTTTTTGTATTTTCCGGAAACTATAGTGAGTACTAATAAGTAATCTATCAACATTCTTGTTTCGGTAAAAATTTACACTTAGTGAATGCATTGCAAAACTCAAATATCTGTCTTAATTACCATGATATATGTTGGAGTATGTATTCATCACATGATGTAGTTAAGCTCTAAGTGGGATGGTTAGTGGCCTTCAACAGTAAAAACTCAGTTACTACAACGTAAAATACACGAGGTTCTAAGTGATTTCTCAGAACATCTTATTTATCAGTTCAACCAACCACCAAACAACATTCACAATATTAACGTAGTTTCATGTGTATAAATAGTATACAACTAACTTGACCATAACTGACCACTTTAAAAAACCTACTTTAATTTTAATGTTTTAAGAAATAGGAATTAGCATGAAACCATGTGGCCGACGTTTTATAAGGTAAATGAGGAAAACCAGTGGATGTTGACTGCACTTCCCATAATTTTCTTTAAACATTTATGAAGCGATGAGGCTATCAAACATATCTTATTTATTAATGACAAGACATCAATGTTGTTTTTGACCTCTAGTGAGACTCTCCAAGTGACATCAACATCTTAGATAATTATTCCCTTTATTCTGCTTACACAAATTCTAGCGTTTCACTTGATATTAGTTAAATTCACCGTGGTACGATGTAGCTATCTTATTATACTCACTGATTGTGTTAGAAATATTCCTAAATTTAAGCTGTTTTTTCTCATCGATGGCAATCTAATATGACGCCTATTCTAGAACCAAAATAATTAAGATTACTGACAAGATTATTAATACACCTTACTGGCTAATAACGATAGATGCAAAATCAAAACCCTGAAAGTAAGTACCCAAACAATTAAACAAGTTAGTGGCCATCTGGAGTTAGCAACGAAGTAAATAATGCATTGGGGTTGAAAGCGAAATGTGTTAGATTCAAGTTAAAGTATGAACATTAACAAGAGGATGTACGTACTTTCGATTTACGAGTACTAAGTAGGACGAAGTGAGCGTCATAGACTCCACTGCTAGTAACAATCCATCTATCCAGTGAAACATTATGTTTATTTGAGTACTTGTATCATCAAATAGACGTGTAGTTCTTATTGTTTACAGAACGTTGTTTAGGTAATCTCCGGGAAAAAATCCTATGAGATATTTAGCACTTCCGCCCACATTGTTACCAAGAGCTTGTTTTATTGAATAGGCCAATACATAAATTCAAGGAGAACTAACATAGTTGGTCTCTTCACAAGTAGACAACTAACCGGTAGCTAATGTTCTATATAACACTGACTTTTAGTGGAGCGAAAACGTCACTTCCTACCTTGACTAAGGTACTTTCGAATCATCATGACTCATAGCATTTCCAATTTCTAACACAAAAACTCTAAATAAACATTCCACTGGATGAATTTATGATTGATTCTTGATCTCATACATCATAACTCTTAAAAAGCTCCTACGTTATTGATTAATTACCACGAAGTTTCTTTCTTACTTGTATCTAACACCCGTTACTTGATCTTTCTTAATCTGACAAGGTATACATAGACTATCCGTCGATTAGGCATTTTCAATGATAGACTTTAATACCGTATTTTTAACCAAAATTATGTGTCAAGTGTTTAACAACATACATCATGAATATGTATTAAGTTACCATCAGAAAGTTAGAACATTTGAGCATCATACATTTTCAAACACAATCCGTTACAAGATACGAAAAGAATAGGAATTGAGTCCGGTTTACCACTTCGTAACAGTTATCTTTTGAGATATCTTACTGACTGGTCGTCGTCATAAAACACTAACTGTTCATTTGGTTTTTCCATCGATAATTATCAAAACAATTATATAAATATTATATATATATATATATATATATATAATTTTTTTCTCTTCCCAAATTTATTTCACTGGATTATACTCTTTAAATAACATCTGCAAACCCTAATCTTTCCGATTACTGCTTATACTCTTACTACCTCTACCACTACGGGATTTGAATCGACAACTGCATCTCTGTGCTAATGTGGTATGGCAACTCGAACTGATGTACATACGTACGAAGTTCTACTTTGTTACTGACTGACTTTTTTTTAAAAAGTGATCATTTACTCAAGAGCAAGTTATAAAGTGATTAACTGAGTCCCGTTATTTCTAATTAAGAGAGAATCACAACTACTTTTTAATTAAGTGGAATGAATGAGTTGAAAATATTATCAAAATCTAACAGTGACGAAGTAAACAGTAGTCACTTATCTGAATAACCAAAGATGCCCCACCGAACTAACGTGGAGATAAAGGGAACAAGCAGCCATTACCAAAAGATGCTCATTACATAGAGTTCAAAAAGATGGGTAACTACATAACAGAATAATACAATAACCAGTAGTTTGATGGAGATTAATGTCACATTCTGATTATCAGTCATGATGGAGACCTAAGTGTTGACATTAAAATAAACTGGACCGTTAGTTTCAATGCTTTCAATGAAATACTCATTATTTTTTCAGAGAAACTTCAGGGTGACAAATACACACAATTTCGGTCATCACTTTTAACCGTGGCATGATATTATTACCCATGTAAGATCTGGGTGTACGTCAACTCAGCTGCAACCTGAACGAACAGACTTTGATGGCTAATGACAGAGGTTTCGATTACATAAGTAAAACTGTCCCACAAGTTACATACTTGCAGAGGAAATATAGAATCTTGGTGTCCAAAGACCTATATTGATTTACAAACTGTTATGGATGCAGAATAATATACCAATAATTATCGTGTTAAGTCTAACGGTGACCTTGGACTTTAAATGGACATTTCCCATTGGTCGATGTTTATTTCACTTGTTAAATATTGTGTAAATGTTGTTTTCTATTTTATGGTACGTGGTTTGTTTGTTTGGTATATAAATAGAGTATGTCTGAAATAAAATGATTCATAACTCAGAGGCTGTGACTTGTGTTCTGGACTCAACTGGCTGGGTTAGACAGGAAAGCAGGGTCAATCAGGGCACAAGGTCGTCCATACGTGTTTTCCGTGTTACTGTGATCGATCGATATAAACGCTGGTTAACATAACCTGCAGTCACACGTTACAACACAAACATTTAGTCTCAATGAAATAATAATAAGCACTCAATAAACCAACCACGACTAATGCGATTTGGGGTTTAAATGAAACACTGAAAACAATAAATCCAAATTTTACGAATGCTATTTGTCGCAGAGAGAAAATACTAACAAATATTTGTATTCAGACAAATGTAACAGAGATTACCCGATGAGTGGGTTTAACAAGCGATTGGTCTATAAGTTGACAAAACACCATAAAAGACAGGTTATATAAGAATAAGAGTTTTAAAAGATCAGTAACAGATAATAATGTACAGAGTAATATTTTCTCATCAGTAGTATCACAATAGATGTTGCTGAACAGAATTATACAATACTAGAAAATTACAAAATCAGATGAAGATCATAATCTCGAAAAATTACGCAACTGATATTACAAGCCATGAAAGAAATACATAAAATAAAACTATTGGATATACAGATAGAGCAACACGATTTTTTGGCAATGCAGGATGGACAAAAATAAAGGATGCATAAGATGAATAAACCAACCCAGAAATAACAATGAATAATCGTATGATAAAAACAAACATAGAATTAGAACTTGCAAGCAACAGTAATCGACATATCACCAAACCAATAACAAGAGGCAAAATACAATACCCCAAAACGCATACGGTTTGTAGGAATGACCTTTTAAAAGAAAACAATAGGATAATCTTAATGAATATATTTGTTTTTAAATACGAAGTTCATGTACTAGTCAGAAAATGAATTACATCAGACTTTGAGTACATTTTTTACTCATCCTACATCGGCAGTAGTAAAGTTGAAGCTACGTTTTTAATACAAAAGTTTAGGTTATCTAGAATCCGTATTATCCCTAGAAAATATCCTTTAACAAGGTTTTTGCATTTACTCGGAAAAAATGATATTTTTGATAAGTTACAACCTTCTAAGGGAGGAACAGTAATGAAGCACTTAAAAAACGTTCTGATTATTGGTAATCAACACCGAGATAATTACTGATGGTTCAATTAAACAACAGATTAGTTTGTTTAACAGGTAATCATGTTTGTTTATTGGTCAGTCACCATCCACATAACTTCCAAAATTAAACAATATAAAAAGAAGTACTGATTAATCCAGTCTACCACTTAAGTGAGTAGTTTTCGATTAAAGGAGAAAAGAAAGAACTTCTTTACTCAATGAAAAAACCGAAGGAAAAGTCAACAGTGACATGGTAGTTACGGAGCTTGACATCCAGCTGTTAGACTATGGGTTTTTACTTTCACCATCTGTTTCATTTTGAGAAATCTGATAGTATTACTGATTATCAAAAATACGACTCAAAGTGAAATCATACTCGGTTACTGAGATGCACTAGTTAAAAGTATGCACGACTTTGTATTGATTCAATCCCCCTAATAACCTGGTACGACCGAGGGTGGGGGAAGGCAACTCTCCTTCTCGAAATGCTCTCACATGGTCACGCGTAGATAGCCACTGCCAGGGAAGTCCTACTCGCTACCTTCTAAAGAAGAGAGTGTTGTTTACGAAATTGAGTGGACACGAAGTGAATATCCGACGCTTCTACCGGGTTGATGGATACGGAGGGTTCACCTAGGGGAGTTGGAAAACCCTGACTCCAAACCAATGGTGCACATGGGCTCCAGTATCCGAAGGGGACAAAAGGTAGATGAACCTATTGTTGGTCACCATCTGCCATGGGACTGAATCTCCTGATGTTGCTCCACTGCCTTTTGGATTAGACCTGTAGGTCAAAGGCTCAAGATGTGACCCCCTAAGAAAACCACTTGCTTCGGTTCGAGCACCCGGGTATGGCGCATATGTATTTGGTGCCTTGTCGTACTAATGTTTATGTGTTTAAATAAATAAACAAATAAAATAAGATAATTCGTATAGAACTATTCTATTATAATTTACTATTGAAGTTTCCAAACTGAACTCCTATGTTTCTTGGTAAACAATACAAAAACAACTAAAAACTCTAAAAGTCAACCAACCTAATGAAGAATGACAACTTACACTGCACCACCGAGTAATTTAGAATTCAAAGTCACAACTGCTGAACCCAGCCAGAAAATAATGAAGACCTGGGCAAACTCTGGTCCGCCATGTCCGGAACTTTCTGAGTTTGAGCTACTATGCAAGAGCCTAAAAGCAATCAAAAGAAATAAATGGCGTTCCAACGAAAGTATTGTGATTGGTTTTGCACTCAAGATTTTAACAAAATATGATCCATTAGATATTATGACTTCAATATGTATCAGTTAGAGGAAAAAAACATGGCGTTGAATGAATTAGTAGATCTTTGACAAGTGAATAGAAAAGCTTAGCTTCCAAAACCAATATAAAAGGATAAGTAGGAAGGGGTAAAGTTGTGTTTGCCAAATAGTGATATGATGGAAAATTGAGAATACCATAAAAACCTACTTTTTCTGTCATACTATTGAATACTGTTGAATAATGGTTACAACCACACCTACATTTA